CTGAAAAAGAGCTCCTTCTATGATCTCTGTGGGGATCTGGTACAACATCTCCAAGTTGGTGATCAGAGAACACTGGCCTTTCTGCTGCTTTTTACTGTTGTTGGACTCGATGGTATTAATGGTCTTTTTCAACCTAAATAATTTTATGATTCTGTAGTGGCCTAACCCTTGTCTTTGTGCCTTCTGGAATCCTCCCTACAGAGACCCACTGATGCTCTTGAGATTTGGATTTCTTTTATTTACACTGATGTGTTCCTATATTGGGTGGCAGCCTTAGCAGAATGGCCACTGCCCTCTGCCCATGAATTCCCCTGTGCTGCTCCTCTGTTTTCCCCACTTTGATAATTCCTAGTAGTTTAATTAAACTGCAAATTTCCTCCCGTCCTTGTTCATTCTCCTCTCTGAATCAGTGGTGCAGTAGCTCACACGGAGTGTGGTGGCTTTGCATGTTAAGCAGGTCTCTCCAGCTAGTCTGCAGATGTGTAGCCTTATCTTCACCCCGCGGGCGCCGCTCTCCTCAGCGCTCCCAGACAAACACCGAGCGCTGTTCTCCTCCTCGGTGTGCACCGGGCTTGGCTGCGAGTGCTGAATTGTCGGGCAGGAGCCTCCCCGCACACAGCTGAGCTTTAGTGCTGCTGATTGCTGGAGTTTACACATACTCACTTCTGGAAAAAAAGGGTCACCCCAGTGCAAAATTGGCTTAAATGAAAATTGGTTTATTATGCTGTGGCTCTTCCTACAGGCAGCTGATTAAGTAGCCAGCTGCAGCCAGATGTCTGCTGGAGATCCTCTGGGATGCATGGAGCTCCAGAACACGGTTTGGATGACTTGCAGTTGTGCCTGTTTGTTGCCTCAGCCAGACTGGTGGTACTTTTTGTCACAGTTTGCCCCCTCAGTCCGTGAGGGGCTGCTGGTTGTCATTGCTGCTGGTGCGGAGCATCAGAGGGGGAGGACTCACCTCGGGTTCACTTGGAGCTGTGCTGGCACTGAGGGGGACTCGCACTTCAAACGCTTCTATCTATCAGAATAGTACCTTGATTCTCTTCACTTGATTTGTACTTTTCTAACCTGAGCCAGCTGTAATCTATAAAGCAACTTTCAGGTAATTTTTCCCTATGTGACATTTATTAATACTAGTGATAAATAACAACAGATGCTATTTTAAAGAGACTTTTGGATCAGATTGGGAATAAGTAGGCAATGTGATTCATTTGACATCTGCAATTTAAAATCAAAACAGTAGCATCTTCTGGTCTCGCTTTCTGCACCCTTGGGCTCTGTATGGTGCTCTCTGGTTTAGCAACAAGGGGTTGCTTGCAGCAGCACCTCCCCAAACTTCCCATTTTCCCCAGTGTGAAAACAATGTAGGGCAGGTGCCTATGTTTGAACCCAGAGCAGGGCTGGCAGCTCAGAGAGAAAAGAAGCTGCTGGAGGAGCTGGGGCATGTTAAATATCACCAACATGAACTTCTTGTCTTAAACACAAGCAAAGCAATTATCTAACATCATCCAACCTGTTGAGGATGCATAACACGACATGGGAGGTTGGGTTGTTCCTGTTTAAACTGACCCCAGCAATAGAGCTCAAAGAGGAGGTAATACAAATTATTCCTCTGCTCCTGTGTTACTGTGGAGTTATCCCTTCCTTTAAACTGCCTGGAGTTCAATTAGGAAGCTTTTTCTGAAACTCCTAAGTAGATAAAAGAAAAGAGAGGAAAAACTCCACAGTGTGTATTCTTTTTTCTTCATTAAACAATATGGGGGAGAGGGGAGTCCTGTTAAAAAATACAGAAGAAAATCAGGGAAAGGGATATCTGTTAAAGGCTGTTTTAAGTGATGTTTGCTAAAATGCACAGTTTTGTTTGGCTGCAACCCTGTGTGTTTTTAGTGTTATGTGTGGTCCCAAGTACCCCAATACCCGAGATGTGTGCTGATGGATTTCCTCCTGAAAACAACATCCCAGATTTGGACTTTTTATTAACTTTTTCATCCCAGAAATGTAGCAGTGCCAAAGGTCTGTACCTGCAGGATAGAAACCTGTGAGAGCTCAATCCAGCAGAATCAGTTACATTTACAAAGGTGACTGTGACAAATGACTAGGAAGGTACTGCTGGAAGCCACCACCCGTCACCAGGCTCATAGTGATATTTAATTCACAAGGTTGAATGCCTCTAATCCTGTTGTTGGAAAGTCTGGCTGTCCTGAGGCTGGGCTGCAAACTCTGTTACAAAATCCAGCAGGGAAAAGTCATGACTCATTTAAATTCTGTACCCTTCTCTAAGTCCTTTTCCAAGCGGGCAGGGTGACTGGTGGAGGCAGAGCCCATTGCCCTCACTCCTATTGGGAAGGCAGCGACTCAGGGCCTTGGCATGTGTCACTCCTGCTGTGCTTTGGGCATTTCCAGTGGCTGAGATGAATTTCCCTCTGCTGGTCTGGATGAGTGGCTGATGGGGAGCTGTCTACAGGCATCTCCATCTTGTGAGGTGAATCCCACCTGTAAGGCAGATCTGAGGGGATGGCAAGGGAACTGGGCACTTCTCCTGTGGCTGGGCTGTCTCACTGTGCTGTAACACTGCAAGGGTGGGAGCCACTGATATTTTAAACCACCAGAAGTTGATCCCCCCTGTGACTAACCCTTTGCTGCTTTTTGTTTGGGGATGTCACTGCCCCATGAGGAGTCAGGCCCTGGCAGTAGGACCCTTCCTGGGATCTCTTGCTCCTTGCCATGGCAAGGACAGGGTGCCTGTCTCTGTTCTATGTTATTTATTGCCTTACCCGCAACCCCTTTCCAAGGCTATCCTGCACCTGATGGACCTCCTGGAGCAGTGGGCTCTGCCTGGACATCACCTGTCCCTGCAAGTCCTCAGGCCAAGGGTTGTTTCTTTATGCTGCTGTACAGCACCAGCCAACCCTGAGCCATGCTCAGTTGAAGGTCTTCAGTACCCTCTGTTACAGCAAATTAATCTTCTGACTGTAATATTCAATATCATACTTCTGCCTGTGGTTCATCTTGTCCATTCAGTCTGCTGAAGGTCTGAAGAAGGTGCAGAGTGAGAAACAGGTGGAGCAGATTTCTAGCCTATTGGCAAGGCAGGAGAACATGGGCCTTTAATATCTTTTGACACAATTTTGTAATTTTAATAAATATTTGTGTCTTTGATCCACTGTAGAAAGCTAATTACTAAATTCACTTTTGATGCCTATTTATTACAAAAGGCTGGAGCCTTTCAACCCCATTGTTGTGCCTGGTAACTCCTGGGAATTAATTGCATGCTGTCAGAAAGGCAGATCCCACAAATCTAGCCCCAGACTGCTAAGAGTGGGATTATCATTTAGTAGTTCAGGACTACATGGGTCTGCTTTTTATTCTACTCTTCTTGGTATGTTTAAACAGGTTTTTAAAAAACTGAAAGCTGAGGCAGAAGTCAGTGTGAGTTCAGTGGGGAGTGCACTGGAGTGTCCCATCTGCAGCATCCACTGCAAGAGCTGCTGAGAGAACTGTGGCTGCATGCAGGCATCACTCAGAGTAGCTGCTCTCTCTCATGGCTCTCATAGTGTCCCTCAGAGCAGCCTCAGCAGGATGAATAGGCTCAGGGAACACCTCAGCTGTCCTTTGAGCTGCTTCCAAGGAAGCACGGTCCCAGTGTGTTCTGCTGCCTGCCTCAGCTCATAATTCTGTGCATGAACCCACCAAGCTCCATTTAAAACCAGTGGAGCTGCTAGGAAGGCTTTTGCTGAGCCTTCCCTGCTTCAGTCATTAGCCTGTCTTCTAACTTCCAGGACAAATTTACCTGAGAAAAATTCATAAACACTTATTATTGTTCCAGCTGTTACATCAAGTTCTTCTGTGCTGCCATTTATCCCTTTATATACATATGCATATAGCACATGAAGTCTTATAAAATGCAATTAATACTGTGCTGTATCTTTAGAAGTGTCTGTGATTACATTCTGGGATTTTTCTCAGCTGCTTTCTGTTGGTGACTCATTGTCATTCAAGCCCAGCTGGCACAACGGGGTTCTTGGTTGTTTCTGGCTGCTGAGGTTTTATAGCAAATGTATTGTTATAGGCAGACAACTGGAGAACCTTGTGTTTATTACTGTTGAATTCATCTCATTTTTATCACTGCCATCTTCAAGGTCATCTGTTTCTGACATGAAATACCTGTCCTTCAGTCCTCTGCTGGCAGTATAATTCCTTTTTTAATAACCTGTACACTTCATCAGGACTTCTCATGCTGTAACCGTTAATGAAACTATCAAGACAAGCAGACCCCAGGCTCCTTCCTTAAGGAACAACTCTGATAAGCTCCATCAAATCGGACATGGACCCTTTTCTGCAGTGTCCCCTTCCCCTGGCTTCTCTCTTTGAAGCTGTCCTTTAAAACCTGTTCCCAGCCTTTCACATCAGGGAAATCTGGCAAGCAGGTTGGGCATTGCCTGGATTCTTGACCTCTAAGATACTGGACTCTTTCTGGGCAGTTTTGTCTCTATTCTCTGCTTAGTTTTAATATTTTCTGTAATATTCTTTTTGTGTACTTTTACTTCTCCAGAGAAGCTAGAATCTTGATCCTAGCTCTACAAAGTTTTACATTTACCAGGGTTATGAAATCTGCATAGTGTTAATAGTTTTCATTTGAAGAAATGTTGGGCTTCCTCCACATGCAGTCCTCTGAGGTCCTGATTCCACTTTCTGTCTCTAGTATTTTGTGTTTCTCATCATACTTTTGGGGTTTTTTTTCACTCTCTATTCCTGGCAACAGGTACAATACATTTATCATGTTCACATATTTGACAATACTCAAATCTGTAAGCGTGGTGTTTCATGAGGGATCCTTATTCCTGCAACAGACTGAAATTCCCTACAGGAACCAATGAAATCCAAAATGTTTGGGATCACCACTTGCAGTGTATCATAAGTATCTGTAAATCAGAAGTATATCATAAGAATCCATAAATCAAACAATAGCTTCACACACAACAGTAAGTTATGCACCATCTCATAATTTATTATAATACAAACAAGTTTGTCAAACACAAGATATTGTCTACTTATGAAAATATCAATATTCACAATTTAAATAGCTGATAGGTCTCATAATTTCATATACCAGCAACTCATCTAAAAAGTATTTTGTTCCTAGCTGTGGTCTTCAAGGATGTATACCTATAATAATTGTAAAACTGTCCATTCACAGCTTATTTTTCTAATTGTAGACATTTGAAATATAAATTAGAGTACAAAAGACCATCTCCACAACAAAGATGGTTTTGTCTCCAGGATACTTTTTCCCTAAATAATGACACTATATGTGCTTGGTTAAGTTTTTTTACTACTGGCAAATTAGGAGGTACAAATAATACAGCAAGACATTGGCTAGTTAGCAACAGTCATTGCAAAATGCTTCACACAACCAAAAATAAGGCAAGTATTATCAACAGCAGCTCCCATATGGCAGACTAAAAAGTCAAGGCTTTATTATCCAAACTGGCTTTGAATGTCTGTTAACAGGATACAGCTTGATCCAAAGCCCTCCTAAAATGATGGGGATTTGAAAAACCAACCACAAAACCCACTAGCAACCTTCCCTTTGACTTCAAAGGGCTTTGAAGTAAGCTTTTAAAGCCCTAAATTATCAGAAGTGAAATGACCAATCCACTGTACATGAAAATTGCACCTTGTCATTTCTAAAATGATATGGAAAAGTATTGTGAGTTTTTCCAAATAAGTTACAAGAATTTAATGGGTTATTTTTCATGGGGAAATAAAATATACAGAAAGATTTTTGTTTTTAAATATGGTCATTTACAAAAATACATTATCAGGACAGAAAAGATCAGACAACACTGACAGTCTGCAGGATAACCATTATGCTACAAAAATTAATAAATCACAGCATGTGAATGGCAGCATATGCCATGCACTTAATTGAAATTTTTTTAATAAATAAAAGCCCTAAACATTCACTATTTTCTTTAAGGTTACTATTATATTAAGTAGAACAGTGAAATTCTTGTATAAATAGGTTTTTTTCCCCATAGATACATTCTCAAAAATGAACCACTTATCTATATAGATATTGCACTTCAGACTCATTCACATGTAACTCAGACAAGCATTCCTCATAACAAATGTAGAATAAAAATAAGTTATAAATACAGTGTTTTCCCAAAATGAGACATACAGTACCTTTTCCATAAGGTAACTTTGGTTACTATCAACTGACAAAGACCAGAGAGAGGTTTGTGAGAGGAGGGCAGAAGGGATGGCCACAAAACTGAATTTCTGTAGAACACCACTAAAGGAAGCAATAATTTTAACCTTTCCATGAAAAATACAGCAAGGCTCAGCATCCCTTTTGCACTTATTATTGCAAGGGTGAAGCTTTGAGATCACAGGGGCAAACAGCTGATGACCTGAGAGGCTCTTCATTTCCCTTTGGGGATGTTTGGGTGGGTACCATCCCCTCGGTGGTGAAGGTGGAAAGCGTCAGCTTTTGCTTTCAGCCCCCATTTCCCCAGACATGCCCCTCTCCTTGCTCTGACCTGCACGGTCCTTGGGGTGCCTGAGCACCTCAAGAGGAGTGCTGAGCAGCTCTCCCAAACACTCTGCCAGTGGGAGAGGACTGGGGGGCGTGTGCTCCCCAAGGCCCTGGGCATTTGGACCAAACTGAGCAGCCTTGATCTCTCCTGAGAACACCCCTCCATGCAAGAGCCAGCCCTTGCCTGGGGACCCGATTTTCACACCTTGTGCCTTTTGCTGCCCTTGCCTTCTGGGCTCCGGTTTGTGGGTTTAGCTCTTGCAGGATGTCAGTATGAGGTGGTGTGCAAACCCACCCTGCGTGGCAGAAGGGAACCAGGTTGTTTTCCAAGACTTTTGTAGACTTGGCGTTTCTTAGGGAAAAATGCACCAAAGCTGAGCCATCCAAGGGTTTTAGAGAGATGCTTTCAGCCCTCAGATCCCACCACAGTGGGACTGATTGGATCCCTTCTGAAAGGACCCCTCTATGTTAGTCCCTGATGCACCATGAGCTCTCTGCTGGCATTGGAGATGGACACAGGCACAAATGCAGTGCTAGCACCAAGGTACTTGCTGAGGAGCTGCTGTGTCCACTGACCACACTGTGCTTGTGTTCACCATGTACCTTCACTGCTCTCACGTCAGTGAGGCTGCATAAATGCCCAATATAGAACAAAAAGGTTGTGGTATGTGGCTCCGAGACCACATGCAAAGATTTGAAAGTGAAAGAAATTAAAAGAAGTACATTTTCAGCCTTCCTGTAAATCTCTGCTTATTTTCTACACTCTGCATTGATGGGATGCTGTTTTTTGAGTGTGAAGGAAAAGAAGTTAACCTACTTTAAGTAAGTGTAATACTTAGATCAGCTTAGACTAAGGCTTTTATGTTTTTACTGCTGTTGGGTATTTAATGAATTTCTGTCATAATTGTTTTTAACAATTAAATGGCAAATCTGCAACAGAATGGCATCATCCATCAGGAGAAAAGCTTAGGTTGAGGTTTTTATATGTTAATCCTTAAAGGCCTGAACATGGAGGATAACTGAGAATCTGTATTGATTAAGAAGGAACTTGAAGGTTGTGATCACTCCAAACCTCACAGAAGCAGCTTTGGTGGGACCTCTGCATCAGGCAGGACTTGGTTTCAAACTCGAAAGTCCTTAGACACCATAACTGAAATAGCTGGGAAAAGATGCTGCTTTTGTTCTTGGCTCTATAAACTTCCCTCCCTCCCTCAAGCTCCCCTGTCTCGGTCACATTCTTAAATAACAACTTAAAACACATGAATATTGGCAGCTTGTGGATTGCTTTCCATGCCAAAGCTGCAACAGGTACTGTATCGGTCCTTGAGCCTTGTTCAAGTGAGCCACAAAAGGGCTTGTCACCACTTGTGTCTCACACGCTGCCTCCTGCAACGAGGTCTTGACAGCAAAACTGTGTGTGGTGGCATTTTGTGTCAGATTCAACACATAATTTTTGGCAAGTGCACACATCAGAAATGGCACCTTCCACAGTACACAAAAGCATCCATTCACTTTGTCGACAGCAAACGACACAGTCGAGCAAGGTTTTGTTGTTGTGTGTTAAAAGGTTGTAATTAAACACTGCTGTGGCTTCGCCCCTCCAATGACTTTGGACTGCACTGATGCTGGGATGCAAAACATTTGAGGGCGACTGAACACTAAGACTTGAACTCTGAAGCATATTCAAAATGCTATATAAGAGATGGAGGCATTTGCCTTCTCACTTTTCCTTCTAAAATCAAGCGCTCCTGTTCCTTCCTGACAGTCTGCTCTGCCCTTGGTCTCCCAGGGAAATGAAATCAAATGACCACTCTTCAAAACAGCCATTTCAGCAAATTACATCCTGAAGATGTAACCACTTGAAAGGAACTTGCACCCAGAAACTACAACTATTGCCCTTTTCATGGTGATATTTTTATAGGCTTCCCATTCTTATCATACTGGTAAACAAGCATTTTGATGCAGTGAGAGTTGGCTGGGGAAATCCAAGGGCTGCTCGTTATGGAAAAGTTATGGTTTGTATAGAATTGCACTGGTTGCTTCTGACACTTAAAGAAGGCTTTCAGTGTGGCAGCTGCCATTGTGCGAAATCTTTTGCTAATAAAACAGTAGAGAAAGAAATTAATTGCAGTGTTCAGCAGTGCAAGCATATTGGCGATGTCCGACACGATATGCACCACCCAGCTGTTGTTTATGGGCGACACGTAGAGGTGATACAATATCATGATGATTCTTGGTGCCCAAAGTATGGCAAAAATAGAAGTTATAGTAAACAAAATGGCTGTTGTTTTCCCTGTGGAGTACCCTCGCAGTCGGAAATTGCTCTTTCGCCGCAGCTTGTACACAATGATGGAATTCAGGATGAAGAAGATGGAGCAGGGCACTAAGTAAACAGTAAAGCAGTGGACCCAGATGAGGACGTGATGCATTGATGTGCTTATGTAGTCTTCAATCCAAATATTGGGCCACCAGTAGTAGGGAATGCTGGTCAAAAAGCAGGTGATATAGACACTTACTATGACTTTTCGAGTACGAGCAGGGTAGGAGACTGTATGATACTTCAGCGGGTGGCACACAGCTATGTACCTATCGATGGTTAGTGGAACTGTAATCCAAATGGAGGTGTGGATGGAAGAAAATTCCAAGACCTCAATTATTTTGTCCAGTACCTGAGGCATCTGTTTGTTTAAGATGAAGTCTTCCATGAGGAAATCAACAAAGACGATGAAGAAGAGAACCAGGATGTCAGCAGCAGCTAGAGCTAGAAGATAGTTATAGGAGGACTTCTGCCTGCGAGCTACAAGCTGGGAGAGGATGATGACTGTCAAGATGTTTGCTGTGGAGAAAGAAATGCAAATTTAGGCTATTAAGGTGTAACACCAGCTTTTCTGAGCACTTGTTTGGAGCTGCTCAAGCACTTGGCAGCATGATCACCTTTATTAAATTTAAACCAAAAGGGAAATGCCACAGTCAGGTCCCTCAGAGAAACTGTTGCAACGGGAGGAGCACGTGGCCCTGCTCTCAGCTGTGGAATACACATCCTGAGCAGAGGGTACTGTCCATGCACACAGAGGCAGGGGTAGCAGGAGAAAAAAGCTAATAGCTCACATGCACATTTTCCCTTGGTTCTCACCTTGCTTTTTTCACTTTTTTGTTTAACCAGGGACAAATGAGAAGGGTGGGGTGGGCTCTGGGGAAAACACATTTTTTCTCTCATCCCAGCTTGTGGTACCTGACTGGTTTAGAACTGAAACCAAAGCCACCTTGATTAGGTACTTCTCTCTTGACTGAGTGGGCTCCCAATCGAGAGAAGGACTTTCAGGGAAACAAGTGTCCTCAGCTCTTCCTGAGATTCTTCTGTGATTCAGTCATTCCTGTCTGACTGCTCTCCTACTCATGGGCTCTGGGGAAGCATCTCCCTTCCCACCACTGAGACAGTCAGCTCCACGAAGACCTGCCTGCTTACCCAGAGCTGCCCTTTAGAAGTCCTTCAGCTGGAAGGCATTTTTCCTCTAAAGCGATATAATTTAGCCTTAAATGAAATCCTGCTGGTCACATCAGACATGATGGATGTTCTGATTCAGCATGAGTGTAAACATCCCTGAATTTCCCAAAAAACGCCTGTTTGCAACTCTCTGGTCACAATACAGACCCGTCACCTAGATGTACTGCATGGCACTTAAATAATATTGTGGTGAAGTGCTGAAGTGTCTTTGCTCTGCTCTGTCACTGCCTGGTTTGCTTCAGTTTTCTAAAGCTTTGGTTAAACTTAGATATACTTTAATGTCTTCTTGAACCAGGGATCAGTCCTACAGCCCCTGGCCAGGCAGAGCTCCCCATGAATGTAAACAGCCTTTGCAATCCTTGAGAGCTTTCCTGGTGCACTAAGGTGCAGCCAAATTTTAACTACTTGCTCTTGTTTACTAGAACTTACTGTGTAGTCTTGAAGTGGGAAAAAAAAATTATTCTATTATTCCTACTATCAGTATGGCTGGAATGAGACAGGCAAGATTGTTCCCATCAGAAGTTGGTATCGCTTGGCTACAATAATACTTGAAGTAGTGCTTAAAAATCAGAGCTCTGGTGTACTGTACAAGAGGCTGCCAAATGTTTGTAGTTGATACTTTCCTAAGTGTTCTATAAATCACCTCTTCTGTGCATTCAGTGCTTCAAACATTTCTGCCAGCTTTGATGGATTTCCCAAAACAAATCAACAATACTTGTAAGGATTCCTTTAAATCAGAGAGAAAGGAAGTTGCTGACATTAAGGTAATGATAACTTAGGACACATGTCCTACAACTGGAAATGCTCATTTTTTAAAAACTGTTTTACTTGGCACTGAAAAAAACTTCCTCCTTCATGAGTGCCTTCAAAGCCTGCTGTCTGGAAGCAGATTTCTGCCACCAGGGAAATGAACTGCAGCAGAGTGAATGATCTTGACTAACAGCCCTCACCAGCCCTCACCTATTTTTGTATTAACTTAATGTATTAATTTTGTATCTTGGAACAAAACTAAACAAAACATGACAATCAACTGACTCCTTCCCTATATTAAAAAAAAAAAAAAGGCAGCATGATCTTTCCAAGGTATTGTCTCGAATTGCCTTCAGGGGAATTTTCCCAATTCTGTCCTCCATTAATGGGAATGCAACTGCATTGATTTCAGCTCAGAGCAGACGTGGGAGACAAGAGGTGATACAGTCAGAACTGCTGTGTCATTTTTCACTTACTTGCTTACGAAATGCCTCTGTTGTGCCTGCTGATGAGCCCTGGAGGTGCAGTGAGTGATGTACTGTCAAGGAAATCCTCGAGCTGGAGTGTTTATCATGGCTCTGCAGCCACTGCTGGTTTTGGCCAGACAGACTGACTGGCTCGGCTTCAGATATTGGATGTGACCCATGGGGCGCATCTTCTCTTTAAATCCTCTGGATTTGACTCATTCCAGTGGCAGCAGCTGGAGCCAGCGTGCAGCAAGGGGGATGTCTCAAGACACTGGTCCCTGCTGGTAACTCTGGCCTGACTGTCAGAGCAGCTCCTGCAGGGATGCTGAAGCCAGGCTGCGTCCAGGCACAGCAGCCCCGCTCCCCACACTTTCTACTAACCCCACTCAGTTTTGCTACAGGAGCAAATTTATGATCAGTCCTTTCCTCTGTACCCTCTGCCCCTGCCTCTCAGGGTTACCAGCCATGGCAGTAACAGCATGTGCTGAAGTGCAAGTTATTCACCTAAGGCCAGCAAAGCCTTGCCTGGTGAGCTGGATTAGAAAATTGATCTGACAAAAGACATGCTAGCTCTATCCCATTTTTTCTGCAAGGGTTACTGTATCTTGTACTGGAAATGCTTTCCCTGGGATCGCATTCAAGCCTTTTCTGGCTGGATGATACAAAATACAGTAACATCACTTACTTTGTGAAAACAGATATATACTGGGGTGCAGCAGAAAGTTACCAGTGTGACAATGTCTTAGCACAAGGTCTGTGACTGTTTTTCTTGCTGCATACTGTATAGGGAAAGTGTAGATGAGCTATGAATGTCTCAGTCTTTCACCCATTTCCTAGCCAGTGTTGAGTTAGTCCTTGGTGTGTCCTCAAACACTGCCTAAAACTCAGTAAAATGGAAAATGGGTGGGCACACAGCTCTGCGTGAACAACTGTGTCCTTGTGCCAGTGTCTCTGTGAGTCCTGCTCTCTTGTTCTCCTGTGGGCAAAAATTACCCACTGTGGGTGAAAGGTGATATTTGCAACCATATTTTAACCTGGCTGACCCTAATTCTTGCACTAATACTGTAGTGTGTGATGAGGACTATGGCAGAGATAGTGATGACGGAGATAGAAAAGTATCTGTCTCTACTGTTACATATGTGGAGCTACAGCTGTTGGAGAGGTCAGCACCCCTAAATTGTCCTGGATGGTACACTGCCCATTTCTTGCTGTGTTTTTTCTAGATACTAAGTGGTTAAGATCATTTGAATTTGAAAGAGATTGATCACTGTGCTGGGAGATGATTAGGGGATGACAGATGGGAATTTATGCCAGCGTCGCTTGCTGCAGTGCAGTATTCTGAATTTATAAATATCTGGTTGAGAACCAGGGCTTGATTAGGGACTAGCTGGCTGAAGCCTTGAGGTGCTGTTGGCAGATGATTAGAAGCAACTGTACAAAATGGCAGTCTCAATTCTTTCCCTTAAGGCCTGAGGATGCCTTTGAGGCACAGCGTCTGAAGGTCTCTGATACCCAAACACCCTTGGCCCACACTGCTCAAAATATGGCAACCTTCTAACTCAGTCAGGGTTCATCTCTCCTTTGACATCTCCCCTGACTTTATCAGCTTCTGAGTACAAACTGTAGCACTGAAATTCACGCCATTGGAGGTTCTACATGTCTGAGAGGGATCTCCCTTTAGGAGTAACTTTGGTTCTCATGTGGATTTGGGTTTACTTCCCATACCAAAGCCATGCTGCCATGGCTGCAGAGCCCAGGCAATCTTCTGTGCCTCCTCAAAGCAGTGCCTGTGACCTAAGGGCACAGTTTTTTCCCCAGCTTCTTATTTCATGGATTACAGTCATCGCTCAAATAGTGTCTAAGGACGGCCTTTGCAGGGGATTCGAAGAGCTCCTTTCACTGACTATCACCACTGCACGTGAGCTTAAACAGGAGCAATTGTATCTTTGTAAAGAAGAAATAGGCATATTTCTGGGCTTTCTGGGTTTGGGGTTTTTTAAATTGAGAGCACTTTGCATGAACACAGCAGCCCGTGCAGTGTAACAGCCATTACAACACGAGCAGTGGTGCCGTGGCGCTGGGGACAAGGCTGGCTGTGTGGCTCAGCAGTTCAGCATTACTAACCACCTAAATGAAGTAGCCACGAGTGTCGCTCACTGAGTGTGATAAACATTAGGCCACGGAATATAATGGACATCTTTTACCCAATACAGTTGTTGCTAGGATCCCCACAAATAATTGTGCAATGTACGAAACTTCTCTGCAGGCCTGGCATTAGTCACCTGACCGGCACAGAGAGACAGCTTACAAATGGGAAATTTTAAGTTGCTTTAGAAAACATGTTAGTAACACCTTGGTCTTAGATTTAGAAACTCTGAGAGTGGAAGTACAATTTGCTAAAAATACACGGTGAGAAGAAGGGATGTTTTGGCTTGATGGGAATAGATGATTTCCTCTGAACTAGGAGGCAATATTCAAATGTAAACAGGTACTGTGTCCAGCAGCCAGATCTGACCACGGTTACTAATGCACCAATAGTTACCAGGCTGGAGATAAGGATGGCATTTAGCCCTTACTTTGTGTGGGAGCTCTCTGGGGAAGCTGATGACAAGGGTTGATTTCTGATGGAAGTGCTACATAACAGGAATTATTTAAAAAGAAACTCAGAATTGCTGTGGCAATTTAAATACTTGTTTATTAACTAAAGTTGGCTATAGCTGGTTATGTGGCCTTTGAAAATGACCCCTGGATGCTGTTTGCCCTTAAAAATGATAGGGCAGGTCCACGTTTTCCTCTTACAGCCAATATGGATCAAATTCAGCACTAGAGCAGATGGGGACAGCCTCTGTGAACTGTGCCTCAATTTGTTCCTCTCTTTTATTATCGTATCCTGAGATCCTTCCTTAAACTGTTGTGAAGCGTAAAGAGATACTTTATAGAATATAATTAGTGCAACACAAGTTTTTGCTTCCCTGGGAGTTCCTGTGAGGATTGATTTTTGAAAATAAATGGATTTATTTGCTGTTCAATTGTCTGAGTGCTGTGGAACAGCTCACGGTGAGGCACCCCTAGGAGGGAAGAGCTGTCAGCCCCTTCTGCTGGTGCCTGCATTAT